TCACCTTTGGCCCTGTGTGATCATTGATCTGTTGTTTGACACTTAGATTGGTTTGCATTTTCTAGAATTTTATATAAATGAAACTGAACAGTACGTTCTCTCTCTCTGTGTCTCACTTCTTTCACTGAGCATGATTTCGAGATTTATCCATGTTGACTGTATCAGTCATTCATTCCTCCCCGCCATCCCCTGCCCCCGAGTTGTATTCTGTTTGTGGAATTGTGATATACCACAATTGTTTATGCATTTGCCAGTTAATGAACATTTGGGCTGTTTCTAGCTTGTGGTTGTTATGAATAAAGCTGCTTTGCAAGTCTTTGTGTGGACAGACATACGTTCTCGTTTCCTTTGGGTAAATACTTAGAGATGGAATGGTTGCATTGTGTAGTGTTTTTTTTTTTTAACAGCTTTATTAAGATAGAATCCACATACCATACCATTTGTCCATTTAAAGTGTATAATTCAGTGGCTCTTAATGTATTCACAGAATGATCTGGTGGCTGACAAAACCAAGATGGCCGCTAGATGTGCCACCTGCCTTATGAATGCCAGAGCCAAGGGCCTGTGCCGGTGAAGTCCTTCACCATCGGGGACCTTGCTGTTATTCTGCCCCCCACTCAGCCTCCACATCATGATCAATATCATGATCAACTGAGCCATCCAGGGCCCTTCTGAGATGATGGGAATGTGCTCCACATGCCAACCACCCTAGGATCCCCAGGTCCAAGCATGGAATGGCTGAAGAAACTATGAGGCCCCCCTTCCCTGTCAGAGGCCCCCATAAACATGTAAAAACCAACCACAAGGGGCTGGGAAGGAGAGAATGATGTGGTAGAGTTACATATGACCCACCAGTTACACTCATGGGTATATATCAAAGAGCAAGGAGAACATATGTCCCTGAAAAAGTTTATACAGGAATGTTCATAACACTATTCACAATAGCCAAAATGTAGGGAAAAAAAAAAACCCAAAATGTCCATTGCTGATGAATGGACAAATTAAATGTGGGATATCCATACCATGGAATACAATTCAGCAATGGTAAGGAATGAAGTAAAGATTCATGCTACAATAGGAATGAATCTTGAAAACATTTTGCAAAGTGAAAGAAGTCTGTCAGAAAGGCCACATAGGGTGTGATTTGATATGAAATGTCTGGACCAGGAAAGCCTATAGAGGCAGAACGTGGATCAGTGATTGCTGGGGCAGTGGAGGAAGGGAGCTGGGGAAACGGAGTGTTGAGTGCTAAGGGGCGGGAGGGGAGATGGAAGTGTCCTTAAACACATTATGGCAATAGTTGCACAACTCCGTGAATATACTTAAAAGCCACTGATTTGCACATGTCAGTCATGCTGTTATAGAAAATAAGAATAATCTGGAGTTTCTTGGAGGTGAGAGTGGAGCCTAGCCCATGTTGACCAGTGTTCTGTTCCTTAGAGCCAAGTAGGGCTAAGCTAAGGGAAGTCAAGCTCATTGACTCCTCCACCCCTAGAGCTAGGGCAGGGGCCCTGCTAGTGGGTCCTGTGGGCTGCAGGGTGACAGGCGATGGCACCCCAAAATGGGATGGTAGGAGGTCAGGACGTGCTGCCCCAGGAAATGCAGCCTTGGCAGACTGATCATGTTGAGTTGAGCTTGAAAAACAGCAAATACAGGGAGAGGCTTTCTTCAAATTCTCCCCATCTACTTGAAGACAGATCTTCCAAAGAAACTCAATTGTCAAAAATCTTCTCGTTGGGAGTGCCATCAACCACATAAGATTGGCTCTTATCACAGGAGAGGAGTTTAGAAGTCAACCCCACGCCAGACAAAGTAGGTCACAAACTATCATACCTCTCATCTGTTTTTTTAAGGACCCATTCATCTTGCTGAAAAATCAATTTCCTTCCCCTAAGATCATGAACATCTCCCTTCCCCTTTCTTATTAAGATATTTAATCCTGAATTCTGAGCCCCCTTGGGGAGTTATTCACTTTCCCCCAGTTATCTCCCGTGTATCCATTAAATATATACATTAATAATAAAGTTCTGTTTGTTTTTCTCTTGTCACTCTGTCCTTTATTACCGGGGTCTCAGCCAAGAGCTTAGAAGGGTAGAGGGAAATTCTTCTTCCTCTTCCACAGGGCTTCTGCCTCAGAGGAATTCCTCCCACGCCCTTCAGGGCCAGGAGTGAGTGCTGCTGGTGTTCCAGAAATGAGGAGGGTTGTGGCACTTTCTTCCCTTCCCAAAAAGCCGAGGGGCTCTCCCAGGACGGGTGTTTGGGGCGGGGGAGAGGATAGCACAGGGCAAGGGAGTATAAAGCAATTTCAGGAATTACACAACTTCTCTGGTTATGCATCTGGTACGAGGTGACATGCAGTGCAACTGGGAAGCAATGAAAGAGGAGCTTCTCTGGCTTGGAAAATCTTGTCGAGACTGGCTGGACACTGACAATGAGAGAATTGAGAAAGTGCGGTTTGAAAGAGGGTGTGCTGTGGGTACGCTGAACCACATGGAAGACACAGGAAGGCGGGTGTCCACTCCTACAAGGAGCTGCAGGCCATCAGCACGGCCACCATTGCTGGGAGTGTGATACTGGCCTCGAGGACTCTCTTCCTAAGGGGGACCCTCCATGCAGAGGAGCTGGGACTGTGCAGCCTGGGTGCCATGTATCCGACCTTGGATTCTGGAAGCCCATAGTTCCAGGACTGGATGAATGAGAATCATGGACAGAACTTGCCCAATGATATAAAGGTGACTGGGGTCCCCGGCTGGCCCCCCAGTGTTAGTAGAACTGCTGAGGGAGCTCAATGTTTAAAAATCTCTGCTGCATCTCAAGTCTATAACATTTCCAGTGCACCCCAGCTTACGCAAGGGTTTCTGGGCTGTGAACAACTCATCTGTAAGAAAGCGTGTTCCAAATTCTAAGTCAACAAATCTTTGGAGCACAACATCTTTGCTGGCAAATTAGACACTTGCAGTAGCTGGGTCCCAGAAAAGTTGCTCTAAATACTCGAAGGACCTGAGCCACTCGTGGCCAGACACAATGTGGGAGAAGGCTCCCCAGGTCTTTCATAGGCAGCTGGAGGGGTGCCTGTCCCAAAGGTCCCAGCTCCCTTCAAGTCACTCTTTTTCATCTCACCTGGCTGCGACCCCGGTGGGACCAGGAGGACTCAGCATGCCCACAGTCAAGAACAGGAGATCCAGGGAACCTCAGGGTCCCGCCTCCACATGACTCTGGTCCAGCTGGGTCCCTCGTGCCAGGACCACGTGCTTCGAGAAGAAGAGGGGGGTTGACGCAGGGACCACAGAACATCATAATGGCAGAAACTACCTCAGCGCTAAGAACAGAAGCTGTAATTACAGGAGAACAAACCCACAACAAATTCCAAAACGTGACCCTTACGATCCCCAGGCCGGAAAGGGGGATGTTAAGTGGAGGTTCTCTGTATCCTGGTGAAAGTGGCGGCATGAGGAGCGCTGTGCACTCAGGCCGAAAATTAAACAGATGCGAGTTTCTTTAATTCGAAGGCTTAATTATTCTGACGTTTTCCATAACTTAATCTGAGCCATCACTTCAACTTTAATTAGGCATAATGAAATGGATTATTTACAGTAACTTATATGACAGGAAAAACTGAGAGGTGAGAACTGGTAACTTGGCAACTGTTTCTTCTTAAGTGTCCAGCCCGCGTTTAGGGAGGACCTCCTAGCTTTTCGCCTTTGCTATGGCCCTAGAGATGTCCTACTAGGAAAAAATAGTATCGCCAGAGCATATCCAAGGGCCGGTTTCTTTCTCTTCGTTATCTTATTGCTGCTGGCAAGAATACGGCATGACTGGCGTTATCCTCCTGGATTTATAGAAGCAGAACCGAGATTCTGGAACGTTAGGTAATTTGCCTAAGGTCACACGGCAAAATGGGGAAAGGGGTCTCAGGTGGTACAGTGGAGGCTGGAAGGGGCTTGACGAAGGTTTGGATGCCGTGGCGAGGAGGAGGCCAGTTTTACTTTTGCTTCCATCTCATACTGGACCAAAGTCCCATTTCAAGGCTCTTGCAGCGGGAGCTGGGACTCGGAGAGCCTGGGGCCTGGACGTGGGGTGTGGTCAGGCCTCCCCTCTCTGTGAGGGAGCAGAAGGACAGGGAGGAGGCAGAGGGGAAGCGACTGGTGTGTCCACCTAGTGGGCGCTCATGGCTGTCTCTCTCGATGGGCCTTCCTCTGGCTCAGACCGACTAACTGGCCAGTGGTGACCTCTGAGTGACCAAGTACTGGTTCACTGGTGGGGTGCCCCCACTCCTGCCACCAGCCTTGGGCTCCTGGGCACTCCTCATGCAGCAGGCAGTTTTCGAGTGTGAGGAGCAGGAGGGAGGGTCCAAGTCTGACTTCCTTCTGCTATGTCAGCTACTATCCACTCCCCCACTCCCTCTGTGCCACCATTGTTCCTGCTCTGAGCAGAGGCTGGACCCCAGCCCACCTGTGTCTCACTCACCAGGCCTAGGGGCCCGGCCTGGGGCCACATCACTCCCCAGTGGGCGGAAGCCTCACTACCCCAGTCATCTTAAAGCCACAGACTTCATTAAAGGCTAGAGGGCTGGTGGTGATGGGCGGGGTTCTATCACAGCCAGTCTGACTTGAGGAGGGGTCTGGTCCCAACTGTGAGCCCTGCTCCTTAATTCAGAGCAGCAGAAAAATTCCCACACAGCCCTGGCCTCTGGGAATGACGAGATGCCTGGCTCCAGGGTGGTGGGGACCATTGCGGACATCGATGCTTACGGTCATCTTTTACCACCATCTCCGGGCTTCTGCTTTCTTTGCTCTTGCGGACTTTTAAGAATGGCTTTGTGAGCTCACCAGGGCTGGCTGGTTGGCCTTTTGGGTACCATGAGGTCACTGAATCAGGTAATCAAAGAACAAACAGTCCCATGGTGTTTGGAGTCTCCCTGAGTTACCAGCAAAGCCTCTGTTTGATTTCTCACATGGCAACAAAGCCAGGAGCTTCAGATGAGTGGCATTTGGAATAAAGTCTGGGTGTTGGGCGGGACTCTGCTGCTGGATAATATGCTGGAAGTGCCTATAGACGCGAACTCTCCAAGATGCAGGGAGCAGTTTTTCTCCTGGGTCTCCTGGGGGCCATGTCAGGTAGGGACGCCATGTTGCCGCCTCCTTCGGTCTAGTTACTATCACTGAGTGATAATGCCCCCAAAGAGGAAATGGCCTCTGGGAGGTCTTCTTCAAAGGTGGGCTCATTGGCACTGGTGAATGAGATGATGCAGCAACAGGGAGCTCTCGGAGGCTGGGGTGGGGCTGTCCTGGAGAAGAGGGGCGCCGAACGAAGCCACAGTCTAGTCTCTAGTCTCGCAGACTTCACTTTCTTTCCTTGCCTACTGGCCTGTGCCAGACGTCCTTCCAAGATATAAGGTTGGGAAAATGAGTTTCACAGCAGAGCTTTGTGTGTATGTCAAGTCAGCCTTTGTGGAGACTCTGGCTTTTCTCTGGAGCCTTCTGGAGGCAACCGGAAGTTGGCAAGTCATCCTATGGGAAAACCGAGGTATCAAGGGGCTCTTGTCTCAGTCTTGAGCAAAGAAAACATCTTCTGATTGAAGAACCAGATTCACTCTAGAGCGTCTTGTACTCCCGCTTCCTTATTCAAGAGTTTGGAGAATCTTGGGTGATCCTTTTAATGTCGTCAGGTTGGGTTATGGAAATTGAGCTTTTTAAATTCAATCTTATTTTTGAATAGGTAGTATATGCATAATGTATGGAATTCAATCATGCTAAATTTGCAGATTAGTTTGGGGTAATTTACATATTTGATGAGTTATATAGTAACATACTTGGAAGAGGTACATGGTAAATGCTTAGTAAATGTTAGTGATTATTACGTAGGACGTTGAGCCTTCCTGTTCGACAGTTCTAGATACTTGTTCAATTCTTTGTTTTCCTCTGGAGTAGTTTAAGATTTCCTTCACAGAGATCTTGCACATTCTGATTACATTTGTTTCTAGTTCTTTCTTCGATTTTTTTCTTTTTCCATATTTGTGAATAACATCTTTTCTTCCCTTGTCTGTTTTCTTTTTTTTTCTTTGTAGAAGTATTGTTTTTTTTTAATTTATTTTCAACATAACAGTATTCATCGTTTTTGTACCATACCCAGTGCTCCATGCAGTCCGTGCCCTCTCTAATACCCACCACCTGGTTCTCCCAACCTCCCACCACCCCCACCTCTTCAAACCCTTCAGATTGTTTTTCAGAGTCCACAGTCTCTCATTGTTCACCTCCCCTTCCAATATCCCCCAACTGTTTTCACTGATTATCATACAATGGATGAATGTCTCCTAATGCCTTTTCTTATTAATTGTCACGGTTTTCCAGGTGCCTCTCATACATTTCCCACGTTTGAAAATAATCAACATTTATACTTCTCCTTGCCTATTTTTCTGTCTTGTATTTCTTTCTCTTATCTAATTAACCAGGCCCATACTTTCAGGCTGTTGTTGAATAATGATAAGAATGTACGCTCTTGTCTTATTCGCCATTAAGCATGATGTCAACCTTTGGTGTGAAGCAGAAATGGTTTATATGTTAAGGAGATACTTTGGGTTTTTTTTTTTTTCTGGTATTTATTTTCTGAACCACAGTGGATTTTTAAATCAAATGTTTTTTCCAGATTTATTGAAACGACCACTTAATTTTCCCCTTTGGTCTGTTAATAACGTAAGTAAATGACTGGGTTTCCTTATACTGAACCCTCTTTAATCTTGGGCTTCTTTTCCTGGCAGAGGGCAAGAGGAGCAGGGGATGTGAGGTCGGGTCTCGAGCAGCTCAGACTTTCCCTTGAAGCAAACATTTGAGATTTTCCCGGAATTATAGGCTTTTTGGACCATGATCATTTGAGTTAAGAGGTGACATTTGTTGCCACTGGGGGAAGAGTGAGGTTAGGAAGAACCCAGTGGCTCATGCTGATCATTATCATTTGGAACTTAATCATCAGACATGTGTGTGAAAGGGACAGATCACAAAGGTTTGCAAGCATATTTGAAATTCCTTGACAAAACCACACTCACATCCCTCTGTTTCCAAAAGACCATGCACTGTACCCTGCTTTTGCTTCCATGGGGGCAAATCCTCGTTTGTTGAAGGTCTGCTGTGATACAGGCTGTTTCCCTCTCACCTTCTTTTGTGAGTCTGGGAACGTGATTCTCATCCTGGCTCTCCAACACCAGAGTCCCATGACATGAAGGGGAGGGGCGGGCAGCCACACAGGTAGCTGCCTTAAGGCTGTTGGAAGCAGGCATCACCATAATAATCTCAAACAAACTAACATGCTCCAGTGTCCTCTTTCCTTTCATTTTCTCTAAGTCCTCTATACCCCTCAACAACCAAGTCAAGCCCCACCTCCCCCACGGAGCCTTCCCGGGTTGCCCCAACTCCCAGTGGGTAGTCTTCCCGCCACACCATTGGCACTCCTTTTGCCTATACACAGAATGTATGCCAAGGTTTGGTTACAGTGCCCAACACAGAATAAGTGCTCAAGAACAGGCAGCATGGGTTATAGAATTCATATATCACGTTTCCACGAGGAGAATGTGGGCCCTACAGTCACAGGTTTTCCTTCTCATATTGCTCTGTGGTCCCTGCATGCCACACAAATATATGGGACCCAATAAATATTTGTTGGTTTCATTGATCATCATCCCTTTTGGGGTCTTTTTTTTTTTTTTTTCATATTTATTGAGACCCCTCCAAATGCAGAAATTTACATCTCATGTCGGCATTTTTTTTTAAAGATTTTATTTATTTATTTGAGAAAGAGACAATGAGAGAGAGCATGAGCAAGGAGAAGGTCAGAGGGAGAAGCAGACTCCCTGTGGAGCTGGGAGCCCGATACGGGACTCGATTCGGGAACTCCGGAATCATGACCTGAGCCAAAGGCAGTCGTCCAACCAGCTGAGCCACCCAGGTGTCCCTCATGTTGGCATTTAAATTAGCTTCTGTCCTTCCCACCTCCTACGAAGATGAGAGAAATGAAACCATTTCTCTTCAAGACTTTGCGGATGCCGCAGTGTCCCATTCCCCCCATGGCTTACACGGGAAGGCCCCAGGAGAACATAAACTAGACAAACCCTCCCAAGCACAGCGGTGGGAGAGTTGGGTTAAAACAGTCTTCTGGTTCCATCAGTTCTGAAGGAGCGAGCATCATTCACGAAGCTGGAGGACTTAGCGAGGACCCCTCGCTGTGTTTAAATCTACCACTTCCTGAAGTTGTCTACATTTTTGAGAAAGTTCCTCCAGGAAACTAACTTTTATATCACTCTCTTGGAAATAAACAAATGCCAGGGTGTTTATTGAGAGAAGGGTTCCCCAGTAGCTAGAACATCCATGTGAGCCCGAGAAAAGTACAAACCTCACTGGTTTGAATTTTCCTGGCCGAGCACCGGGTAGGAGGCTAACTCATGTCTCTGTAGGAAGAACTCCTCCCCAAGCCTGCCATCGAGCCTGGCTCCCTGCAAGGCAATGTTGGGAAATCAAAAAGAGGACCAAGATTCAGTGTCTCAGGCTCCTTGAGGAACAAGGAGCAACCCTTCCTTATCCAGGCTCCCCTCATTTGAAAAGTCAGGAAGATGGAGTCCATCTCCAGAAAATCTTGTTGGCTGATTAATACTGTATTGGGGGGGGGGGGTCCAGTGAACATTGCAAAAGGTTTCTACTTTTCCTATGATGTCACTTTTCCTGTTCAGAGTTGACGTCAGAAGGAGAAAATGTGTCCCTCTTCTTGGCTTTCCTCCCACCCCCTTTCTGTGGCAATCTGGCTGTCTTCCCCTCTCCAGCTCCAAGACAGACTACTGCTCCAAAACAAACACATCTTTCTCCTGCTACTTGTGACCCAGGGTAATGTACAGAATCGCAAGTAGAGTCACCGTCTTCCCTTCTGCATCCTCCTATGAGCTCCCCACCATTAACCTTGCCTGGCATGGGTCAGCCCTCCCAAAGAACGCAGATGAGCGTCCCATCCGGGGAAGTAGATATCATGTAAATTAAAAGTAGGAGAAGGCACTGCAAGTAATGAAACCACATTCTATAATGTTTTATGGTTTATCGAGTATACGCGTGTTCAGGATATGGTATCTGTGCTGGGAGAGTGAATTCTAGCGGCCCAGAACTAGCCTGAGTTGCTTTGCTAAAATAAAGTTCCTGCCCAGAACGGACTTAGGGTCAAGGCCAGAAGTGTGCTGATAAAGAGTGCTGCTTTGCGCCCTGGGTCCAGGGAGTTTTGCAACGGTTTGTAGGGGCTTGTAAGCTTGTTCGTGGATAACGGTGAGATTGATGATTTGCACCTGGCTTGGAAGGCTCTGCTGCTAAGGCTGGTTACGTAACGCTTACGTAATGAGATGGTGCTTACATGACCAGCAGAATATAAAAATGTCCAGCCGAGACTCTATTTTGGGCTCCCTGGTTTCAAGGCTGCATCGATGGTTTCTGATCGGAATGAGTACATTTTGTTATGGCCCAGAGAGAAAAGAGGATGATGGAGGCTGGCCCCTGGCCTCTTCAGTCCCAAGGTCCTAGGAGGCAGCCCTCAGCTGTGGGGCATACAAACCCACCTCCTTTCTCTGTAATAAACCATAGACGTGTAAGCTTTCCCTTCGGGTCCTAGGCGCCTTCTTGAGCAGTTAAGCTCTGTTTCATGGGCACTGGTGGTGGGCACCACAGCCCTGAGGGACAGAGCTGACAGAGGGCCCCAGGGAAGTTAAAGGACCAGCCTAAGGTCACACAGTCAAGCGGTGGCAGAGTCCACCTTGAAGCAAGAGCTCTAGTTGCCAGTCCCGTGCTCTTTTCCCAACACTCTCCCATCTCTCTCACTACCGTTTTCAGTACTTACTGGAGAGAATGAAAAGGTCTTTATGGAGCTACAGTCTTGGGCAAGGACTGCTCTGTGTATTGAAGTCACACTGTAAGTGACAGCTCCTGCGGCCCTGGGTGGGGGAGAGGGCGATAGCACCCATGTTTCCTAAACCCCACCACTGCTTTGGTGTCAGAGGTCCTGGCTGGCCGGCTTCTGCCCCCACAACTGAGGCTGTGGAGGCCTTGTGGGTCCATTTCTGGCAAGGTGATGATTTTGCTCATTTGGAAACAAGTGAACACGTCATGTCTCCAGATCTCTACAGCAAGGAAGACATTTGAGTGTGCTCAGTGACTGATAATAAATCTTCTGTGTGCTCTTTCTTTTTCAAAGTGTACGCTTCAAGCAATTCTAATTTGATCCTTAATTAAGATGCATGTGTAAGTCAAATTCCATTAAAGCCTCCTTCTTGGTCTCCAGCACTCAGACCACCGGAGAAAGTTCGGAAGACCAGCCTTGGAAGACAAGTGTGTGTAGTGTCTTAGAGCCATTCCCTGGCTTCTAACCTTCCGTCTGCCCCTGATCAGCTGAGTACCTTTGGGCACATTCCTTAAACTGATTATATAATGAATGGTTTGAACATTTGGTGAGTTTTGTGTCTTATTAAATGCTCTTTTTTGGGGGCATGGACCCTAGGCACCAGTCCTTATTATTACTATGGCTATTAATGCTGCTCCTACTACTTATTGTAATAACAAAAGGGCTGGAGGAGCTTGTTGTTGACCCAAGAATCAGGGGATCTCAGCTTGACCACCTTTCTTACCAGAGTTTTTGGAGGATCTGCCATGAAGTCTTCAGGATTTGGTGGCATGCCCCTGGCACATGTGACCTTGCCCTGGGAACGGACGCCACGGGCTGAAGCACAGAATATCTCCAGCAAGAATGTGAGCAGAGGGCTGCACAGGTAGCTCAGTCGGCTAAGCGTCCAACTCTTGATCTCAGCTCAGGCCTTGATCTCAGGGTTGTAAGTTCAAGCCCCCAAGCCTACTTAAAAAACAAAACATAAAAAAAGAGCGAGAGAGAAAAGAATGCCAGAAGAAAGGACATATCCAAGGATACAGCCTGGCTTTAGCCATACATGAAACAGGCAGTCCCCAACACAAAGTGCTTGAAGGGCACAAATAGACCCACTCCTGCCCTCAACATATCTCTCTCACTCTGCCACGCAAAAAAATGGCCATTCAAGGAGGACTATGGAAAGGTCCATAATGTATGGAGCCATGCAAAGAGCCCGTCCTTGGAGTCAGATGCCTTGGATGGGAAGGCTGCTTCTTTCACGGAATTAGTTTCCAGAAACCAGGGTTTATCGAAGTTAAAATGAACACAACAAGATCGATGGACACACTCTCAGCAGAGCAAACTAGGAGCGATTGGCAGGGGATATTTGAAGAGCACAGTGTATCTAGCCTTCTCAGTTCATTGAAGGAGATGCAGCCAGGCTGGTGGCCATGGCTCAGGGCAAGGCTGCGGAAAGCCTCTCACCAAGCCCCCTCCCCCCACTGAGCCCGTGTCAAGCTGATACTGCAGCACGATCCCTTATCTTGTTTCCCCAGACAGCCTCCCCCAGATTGCATCAGCATGACCTAACATCTGGGTGGAGGGGCCAATATTGTACCAGACCCCGGCACCATCTGGCTACCATGTCACCGGGTCGTAGAATAACCATGAAGCATTATGTGTGTGTGTGGTCACCTGACAGGCATGCGACAGACTGTCCGTAGTAGGTATGTGCCACCTGTTAGCAGGAAGCCCTGGATGCTGCGAGCCAGGCCTCCCATGGCCCCTCGCTGTGCCACTTCAGGCATGTGGAAGGGTGACAGTGACACTTGCACCACGGGCTTGTGTTGAGAACGGCTGAGATCAGGCAGCAGAGCTGCACAAAGCCTGGCGAATAGGTGCTCAGTAAAGGCAAGTGGTTACTTGTTTGGGTGCATTCATCTGGGCTGGGCATGTACCTAACCACAGGCGATTCTTGAGAAAAACCCAGTGAGCTCTATCTTTGCTTAAATATGAGCAGAGTCTTTCTTCCTCCTTGACAGGAGGGGCCCGAGTCACTGGGGTGAGTGGGAGGGGACAAGAGAAGGTGGGGGTTTCCTTGAAATTACCAACCTTCCACTTTGCTTATGACCTTCCCTGTCTTGCTGAACAGAGAGGAAACAGTCTGGTGAACAGCTCAGGGGGCCTGGTGACTTCCAGCCGCGGGATGAGTGGGGTTGAGGGAATGATGTCTAAAAAAAACCCCAAGCACCAAAGCAATTGATTAATTTGCTCATTTAAGGAAACTATTGGGGGGTGGGGCGCCTGGATGGCTCAGTGGGTTAAAGCCTCTGCCTTCTGCTCAGGTCATGATCCCAGGGTCCTGGGATTGAGCCCCGCCTCAGGCTCTCTGCTCAGCAGGGAGCCTCCTTCCCCATCTCTCCCTGCCTGCCTCTCTACCTACTTGTGATCTCTATCAAATGAATAAATAAAATCTTAAAAAACAAAACAAAACAAACTATTTGGGGGAACTTCTTTCTTTCTTTCTTCCCTTTTTTTTTTTGCCTTGAAATAGCTTATTATTTGGCTCCCAATTTTTACCACGAGAATGCTATAATATTAAAGTCAATTTTAATAGATTAAAAAAAATCTATTCCCATCCATGTCACCCTAAACCTCAGCTGCTTTGTTATTTCTGAGCCCTTGCTCTGTCTGTGTCCATAACTGGAACATTCGGGGAGCAAAAATAACTTATGCATAATGAACTTTAGTCTCTAAACTAAAATGATTTTAGATTTATGAAAGCTTGTACCAATGTGTTTGTATTTCAACTTTTCCTACATGGCCATCTACTTCTCTACATCCTTCCCCCAAGTCTGAATAAAAACATTCTCTGACAAAAGCCAGCATTTCCTCATGGCTCATTTGTTCCCAGAAGTTCTACACTTTTTGGTAGGACAGATCCTTTTCCTGTCCCAGGAACCTTCCTCCCATTCCAAGTGGCTTGTCCCCAAGGGCTAATGGGGGCCAAGATCAGGAAGCTGGCTTTACTTCTTAAAGTAGAGCTTCAGTATAAATTTTGGTTTTTTACTTATTATTATTCAGCTCTGTTTTCTTATCTGTAAAATGGTGCCACTAATACTCATCTCTGAGAGGATTGCTTTGGGGAGTAAGTGAGAGAAAGGATTTTACATTGTGTGCTTACTTGGAACAATGGATAAATGGTTTTTTGACTTTGACTTTTGACTTTGACTTCCTAGAGTGGCCATAATGAACCACACACTGGATGGCTGTGAGCAACAGGAATGTGTTCTCTCATAGTTCAGGAGATCCGAGGTCTGACATCAAGGTGCTCACAGGATTGGTTCCTTCTAGAAACTCTGAGGGAGATCTGTTCTCCATGGACTTCCTAGCTTTCGGTGGTTGCTTGCTGGTCCTTGTTATCTAGCTGCATCAGTCCATCTTCTGTCTCTATCATAACATGGCTTTCTGCCTCCTGTGTGTGTCTTGGTGCCCTGTCCTCCTCTTAGAAGGATGCCATTTGGTGGGTTAGGGCCCACCCCGATCCAGAATGGCTGCCTCTTAACCAATTCGTCTGCAAAGACTCTATTTCCCAATAAGGAAGATTCGGAGATTCTGAGTGAACACAGATTTTATTTTTGGAGGGGGGACACTTTTCACACACACACACACACCCTCCCGAGAGTAACCATCACTATGGAAACATGAAAAACCTGGTGCTCTCCTCCATACCTGCAAAATCTTGCAGAGGATCAAGGAGACTGAAGAACATCCCAAGGCTTTCCAGGAAGAAACATCCTTTCTCTTAGATTGTAAAACTCTGGCTGAGACACAGCCCAAGGCAATGCACATGCCTTCCCCGAGTCTCTCTCACTTCCTTCCCTGTGAAATGGGAGTTAATCTGTCAATCAAGATGTACTGATGGGTCTTCAGCATCATGACAAACCCCCCCAACCTAGAATGACAAACAATTGTCCTTGAGATTAGTTATGGATGCGGGGAGGTCTACCATGATTTTGGAGCTTGGCGGTCATGCACACTCAGTTTTGATGACCTCTGAATCAGACGCTGACACAGACAAGGAAACTCCCCGGCCCTTGTAAGAGGGTGTGTTATGGCCGGCCTTGGTCGTCCAGGGGGAGGTCTGCCCCCTGAGGCATCACGTTCCTCTTTCCCAAGCTCTTCACAAAGGCTGTGAGAAAAGAGAAGGGGCGCAGGCAGATGAGGAAAGCAGCAGCTTTCTTTACAGAATGACGGAAGCAGATTTCATGGTTGTTTGGTGGTGGTCATTTTCTTGGCTCCTGGAAGATCTTGTGTTTCCATTTCCAGTCCTTGGCAAGAATGTCTGCTCTTGGGGAGTGACCAGGTTCCATCAGCGCCCCGGGCTACAGGTTGAAGCCACAGACCAAGCTGTTCAGTCCTTGTTCCCAGCACAAGGCTTTGCATTCATGCCATTTTGCATCCTTTTTAAACCCACAGGGAGAGAAGCGCTACACCTTGTCCACTTGCCGGCTACAAGCACCGTGGCTGAAAATTCTCCACCTGAGACGCCAGTGCACAAGTTTTCTGTGAACTTATCAGCCTCGCTGTCTCCTGTGATCCCAGGGTGGCCCCTGATCATCAACACGAGCCCCCTCACTGAGGCCTTCAAAGTGAACTGGCTGTCAGCCACCGACTTTGAGGTAAGCGCATGGCCCTGGGGGAGGTGTCCACAGAGACGGGTCCTGAAGATGAGGATGGGTGGATTCTAGATGGTGGACCCGTTCCTTCTCTTTCCCGGGCTCACTCCCTCCTCTACTAGGACCCAGAAGGCCCGTGTGGGGTATCCAAGATTTCTCTTTGAGAGAGGACCCTAAATACTTTGGACCTTCTTTCCGCACTTAATCCAGTGCGATAGGCAATATGCTCAGATTATTACAAATTGTTACGAATAAAAGTCCTGTTTCTCATGGCCACCCGCCCTCACGGGATGTCAGCTGTTAGGCGTGTGCAGACTAACTAAATCCTTTGGGGAGCATATCGTGGGGATTCATTTCCTCCAAAGCCAGGCCCTGATGAACTTGTGTCTGTTGATTCTGCTCTTCTCGTATTCTGTGATGTGTCCAGAAGGAAATCTATGAGGAGACTTATTTAATATGGAAGAACACACCCTTCATAAAAATACAAGCCTGAAAGCCCAGCTGTGCTGTGTGAATGTTTCCTCTTGGATAATTCAGACCCCGTCATTCACATTCAGGAGCTGTTACACTCTGCTCTCTTTCCTAGTTTGTCATTTAAGTCTTTTCCAAAGTCGGCGCTGCTCCTTAGGTAGGACAAATCTATCTGTGTGTTTTCTATTGGTACCTTCGGAGGCCCTTCCAGGGATGCCTTTAGGATCCTGACGTCTGAACCCCTCACCCCCAACCCCTGCCCTTCCCTCCATCCGCATAGAGACCTCTGGCGGTTATCATTAGCCCTGACGTGAGTCCTGCCTGCCATTACCCTGGGGAACTGATGGGACCCTGTGGGCTCAGCCTGCTTGGTCGAGTCTCAGTTGCCTCCTAGAGGTTAGGTATTCCTAAACAGCTGATCATGAGAGTCCTGAGGGGAGCTCTTAAAAAGCGTGCATGTCTGGACCCCAGAGCGGACCTGGAGAATCCTTGACGTGCAGACAGAGCTCGGGAAGACAGTACTCTCAGCACCCCGAGGGGGGTGGGCAGGTTTTTCGGTGCATACGGAGCGCACATTCAGCATCCGGTGTAGAGGCCCCAGCCCCAGAGGCTGATTCTATGACTCATCTCCCCTCTCTCCCTGGCCCTGGACATCTGGCTCATCTTCCACAGCTGCTGCGCACCTGGTTCTAGAAGCCCCGCCCACGGCTTGCACGCGTGTGGCATGGCGTATATGCTGGACACCGTGGCGCACGCTTCACGTGTGTTTCCTCTTGTAATATCCAAACAATCTGATAATTTTATTGCTGTTCCTATCTCCTTTTCACAGGTGGAGGAAACTGAAGCAAAATTCGTTAAATAACTGCCCCGGGTGGCACAGCGCTTCGGGGGCGGAGCTGAACCTGGAACCCGGGCAGTCTGACTTCAGACCTCTGCCTATTTTTGAAAATGATATAATTCGTACAGCATGCACCTCGCCCATTGAAAATGTACAATTTGATGGTTTTTACTGCATTCACAGACCATCACCACCATCTAGTTTTTTTTTTTTTTTTAAGATTTTATTTATTAATTTGACTGAAAGATCACAAGTAGGCAGAGAGGCAGGCAGAGAGAGGGGGAAGCAGGCTCCCTGCTGAGCAGAGAGCTGGATCCCAGGACCCTGGGATCATGACCTGAGCAGAAGGCAGAGGCTTAACCCACTGAGCCACCCAGGCGCCCCATCACCACCATCTAGTTTTAGAACGCTTATCCTGCTTCCCCCAGTCCCTGCACCCCCCGATCTCCTTTCTGCCTTATGGATTTGCCTATCTTGGGTGTCATCTATGAATGGATTCATATTGTATGTGATCTTTAGTGACTGGCTAGTTTCCTTTTAGCCTGGGTCAGCTCTTCCTTCCTTTTCATGGCTGAGTCATATTCCTCCGTAAGGATAGACCACAGTTTGATTATCTGTTCAGCAGCTGACCAACATTGGGGTGGTTCTCCCTTGAGAACTCTCACCCTTAGCCTCTAGAAGTCTATTGCCTTTGATGGTGACGATGGCAACCGTGCAGTGGTCCCACCGTGCATTCTCTGGATTATGTAACCTCTGTTTATGACCCCAGTTATGTTTAACTGGGGCAAGGAGTATTTGCCTGATTATAATCACATGGAAACATAATCCAGTAGTGACCTCTGGATTGTCACTACTGACACTGACGTTACCACCATTGCAAAGGATTTATTTCTATTTTCAAACTAAGATCACAGAGAGATGGCAGGTGGGCTGGTGTGTCCAAGATCATGTAACCACAACAGATGAAATACTTAACTCAGGTCTTCTGATGGCCAATCCTAGGCTCTTTCTTCCATGTTGCCCTGCGCTTCTGTTGCTGGTTGGTGAGCCCTCCCGGTCAGGTAAAAGGACCCATCCTTTCCAAGTTTGATATGATTCCAAAAGGGCTGACAGTCAAGGAAGAATTCCATCCTATGTCTGACCTCTAGAAATGGTGACTTTCTTAGCACCTCAACTGATGTTGGCTCTAGTGTCCAGTGTACTGTTCGAGGCCTGGCGCCCTCCTGGGTGCTATGTCAGTAACTAGGAAGGGCCACACATTCATGGGTCCTGAAGCATTGACTGCTTCTCCCCACAAGCCACCCAATAGCATCAACTATCTCCTCCTCCCCTGCAAGAAAGATCCTATTCTCCAATCCAAAATGCTCACAAGAGTTGCTTCTGCGGCCTACAGAATGGGTCAGTGCCATCCCCGTGGTGGAACTTGACTTTCCCATGGGCCAACTTGACACTCTGCAGGAGAAGGCTAGTGACAAGGTTTTTGGGTCTCTGGCCCAGAGGTCTGGTCACTGTTGGCCTTGGGACTCTGTTATACTAGGCTTTCTGAGGGTGACCTCTGATTCATGCCAGGAGCCAGTCCTCTCTGCTTTTAAACACAGCTGCTGGGACGTCTGGGGGTGCAGGGAAGGTAAGGGGGTTAATAATAATGAGGCTAATGATAACAACTCTTATTTATGGTGCTTTGACCATATACAAGGAATCCCCCCTAAATATTTTGGGAATTCATTTATTTAATCCCCATAACAGCCCCACAACACAGTGTACTACTATTATGTTCACATTAGAGGTGGGGAACTGAGGCACGGGGAGGTCTCGCCTGTCACACGTCAAGCATAGAGACAGGTCATCTCTACGTATGTGTGTCCCAGGCTGACCCTTCTCACAGGTAGAGATGAGACTACGTCATTTCCTCTCTCAACCCTCCTCTACACTTTCTGCCTCCACCGCATGCACTCATTCCCATCTGTGGTTGTCTTCTCTCAACCAATCGAGATCTTGCACAGCCTCTTCCATGAAGTCTTCCTTGACTACACAGAGCTCACAATGAACTTTGCCTCTGATTCTCCACGGTATCCTGATCTAGCGTTTTGTTATAATCACCTGTGTTACACTTCAGCTGTTTTACTGGGTCAAGGAGTATTTGCCTAATTATAATCATATGGAAACAAAATCAGGGAAAGGGAAAGGACTTTCTCAAGGTCACACCCATCAGGTCACACTGTCAGTCACGACAGTGGGATGGGAGCTAAGTGCTCTCCTAACGACAGGAGAATGAACACCTGCCTGGCCCCACGCGTTTTAGTAAACAAAAATCTCCATAAGCATAATTAAGACATTTATGAAATTTAGTCCTTGAGGTCCCAAAAGCCCAGGGGCTCTCCGTGGTCTAAGCTGGTGGCAGGAGCATGCATGTAGGTCTGAGAGGTCACAAACTGGCCTCCAGCTGGCCTCAGGAGGACCCTCACATTGTGGACCAGCTGGGTTCCTGCTGATGATTCCAGTGATATTTCTCTGGCCCTGGTTCTTGGTGTCCCTCCCACAGCTCCAAAAACACTTAGAGTGCAGGGAACAAGTTTCCATCAGTGGGAGAATGTGTGGAAACGCACTAAAAGCCTGAACCGGCTGTTGATCTAAGTGTATATTGTTCCTCATTTCAGCAGATGTATCCTTCCCTTGTTTATTCACGGACGTGGCCTTGGGAAAATTAGCATGGGGTGCCGAGTCAAGATGTGACTTCACAACAATCCCAGGAAAGTGCAGTGGCTTATTCTTAAAGACCAGAAAAAAGTCCAACCATCTTCAGGGTGGCTAAGGGGCTCGTCTAGATGCCTACTGCAAGTAGTGACTGGGTTTTAACTCCTGGCTTTCCATCGTCAGTCAATGGAACCAGGATACCGCCTAAATATTTTTCTTTCCTCTAAAAAGCAGCTTCACGCGCCAAGAGTCCCTTCGGTAGAAATCTCAGGGGCTTAGGTTGGAAGGACGAAGGCAAAACAACCGGTTCCTCTGGTGGTGGGGGAGAGATGTTTTCCAGAATGCCGGTTGCTTCCCTCCTAGTAATGTCCCTTTGCAGAATGCATACATACGAAACAGATCTTTCACCTGGTTACTAAGAATTCTGCCTTTGCTTTTAGGTTGTCACCACGGGGAAGGAACAACTAGACTTTGAAACAGGACCAAACATATTTGATTTGCAGATTTATGTTAAGGATGATGTTGGTGTCACTGACCTTCAGATCCTGACTGTCCAGGTAACAGATGTGAATGAGCCACCTCAGTTTCAAGGCAACTTGGCACAAGGTAAGATTCACTGGGCTGTGCCGTGCAGCCCAGACGGCGGCATCACGGGGGGACCCTGGGGGACAGAGCAAAACAGAAAAGTAAGTAAACAAGCAGCTGTTTGCCTGGAATAGGCAGCTGCTTAATAAGCAGGGGATAAATGAAATGTCCTCCAGGACAGGACTCCCCAAAATAATGCCCAACAACGTACAAAGCCCCTCACCTCTGTGGTTTCTCTTGTGCCTCTTTCAGTCCTTGGTGGTGGGGGGCGGATATTAAGGCTCAGGGCCCTTGAGCGGGTCATTCTGGAGGAAGCAGGGCCCAGCCCATCAGAGGCTCATGTGTGGTCATTGTGTGCTGTGGTCATTGACTGACCTGTTTATTCTCCCCATGGACTGGGGTGTGCTGCAGCATGGGGACCAACATACAGGACTGGAGCACAGGGTGACTTCCTGCGTGAGCTCTCCCAGGCTCATGACTTTGACCGCCATCCATACTCACAACCACCAGCTCTGTCAATTTCGTCCAGTTTCTCCTCTGAACTCCTGACTCCAATATCTGGCCATCTTATACCACAGCTCTGTCTTCCCTGTCTAATAGGCATCTGGGATGTTGTGAGGGGACTTTTGGAATGCTCCCAGGTCACCTAAGTTGAGAACTGGTTGCCAGCGGAGCCAACCATGTGATTAGAAGGTTGAAACTTTCAGTCCTGCACTCTGCCTCACCCCCGCCTATGGGAAGGGGAGGAGGGTAGAGAGGGAACTCACCTGCCCATGGCCAGTGATGTCATCAGCCACATGTGTGTAATCAAGTCTCCATAAAGGCACCAAAGGGTGGGGTTTGGAAAACTTCCAGACTAGTGAGCCACCTCGCCCTTCCAGGAGAGTGGTGTGCCCAGAGAGCATGAAGGCTCTGTGCTCCTTTCCCCATGTCATGGTCTATGCGTCTCTTCTGCTGTTCCTGAGTTAGACCTGGTTATAATAAAACCAGTAATCTAGTAAGCAAGTAAAATATTTCTCTGAGTTTTGGGTTCCCCTCTAGCAAATTCTCGAACCCAAAGAGGTTCGATGGTGGGAAACTCAGATTTATAGCCCGTGGGTCAGGAGCATGGACAATAACCTGAACTTGGAATTGGTGTCTGAAGTGGTACGGGGGGTGTCTCATGGGGGTGAGTTCTTGGTCTATAGAATCTGAAGGCTACCTCTGGGTAAAAAGTATCAGAATGGAGTTGAATTGTAGAACCCCCAGCTGGTGTCAGAGGATTGCTTGATGCTGTAGGAGTATCCCCCACACATTAGAACTGGTGTCAGAACATGACATTGCAAATTTAACATGCCTCCAAATCAAACTCTTGACTTCCACTCTACCCCTCCCCCCCAACCCCAAAAACCCTGCTTCTCCTGTCTTTCCTATTTTAGCTAATAGCACCAATAACTTTCTAGTGGCTCAGGCCAAACTTCAAAGTCAGCCTTGATTCCTCCGTCTTTCACACCCAACATCAAGTCCATGAGGAAATTTTGGCACTTCCAAGTCTATGCAGTCTGACTGCCCCCTGGCATCTCCATTGCCACCAACACGGGCATGTCACTAGTCATGGGTCACCCGTCTTACTGCGATAGCGATGGCAATGTCAAGCTAACCGGCCTGCCTGCTCTGCCCTTGCTCCTGTCAGTCTTATTTTCCGCAGAACAGCCAGAAGAATCCTGTTGAATGTCAATCAAATCAAGGCACGCCTCTGCTTCAAGCCCCATAAGAACTTCCCATCTCTCTCAGGAGCAGTGCCAGAATCTCAAGGCATCATCCAATCTGCCCCCTTCCATCCCCACCATGTCCTCTTCCACACATCCCCCCCCCAACTGTGGCCCCCATACCACCCTCTCCCGCAACGTCTCAGTGGCTCTTTGCTCTTCCCCTGTATCTCTACGATCCTCATCTCTTTAAGAATCTAGACTCAAGTGCCGCGAAGCTTCCCCAACCACTATTTCACACAACACTCCATTCCCTGATTTTCTCCAGCACCCAGCTCAGTAATGTTCACATATTTTGTTCATTTATTTTGTTGTCTGTATCGTCCCACTGTCATGCAAGCTCTGTGAGAGCGTGGTTTCGCGTTGGGAGGACTGCTATGTCCCCAGTGCTTGGACAGATCGGTGTCTGGTACGGAGTGAGGACTCCGTAAACACCGTTTTAAATGCAAGCGCAAGCCGTGATAAAGGCGAATGAGAGCTGGAGCTCAGATCAAAGCCAGGCGGGGCTTGAATTTGTATGCTCTCACCTCCTTCGTCGCTGAGACAGCCTCCTAGTTCCCGCAAGCCTGTTTCCTTGTCTGTAAAGTGGAGAGAATTGCAATACCTACATACAGGGGGTTATGACGATAAAGGAGAAAACATAAGCCCTTGGCACAGTGGCCCCAAAGAGTGAGGCGTGCACGTTCTCAGCCCTCTCGCGGATGGACGGGTGCTGGGAAAGAGAGGCCGGGGGATGGGGTGCGGGGACCCCTCGGGCCAGGCTGCTGGGGCCCAGTGCCAGGTTCCCCCTGGCTGCCCAGAACTCTGAAGGAGATGAAGCAATTTCTGGTCCTATTCCTGGGCCTCTGCAGCCCTCTCCCTTATTCCTGCTGCAAGTCCTTTCAGGGGATGCGCTAAGTGCCCTTCAACAGGTGACCGTAGCATGGTTTTGGAGGAATTTTCCCGTGAACATGGATCAGGAACACGGAGGAGCCGTACCGGGAGGTTCCTCCCCTAGATCACCTCTTAGCAGAGGAAACACGATCCCACCTCATCCCCCCCCCCCCGCCCACCCAGTACTTCATAAATTCCCATGAGCTTTCTGCTCATGCCAGGTGGCGGGGAGCTGACTCCCAGCCTTATCCCCACTTCCCACCACACCAAGTGTGCTTGGTTCTCCTTGGCTGCGTACGGCCATCCTGGTTCTGTAATTCCTCATCGGCTTTATCTAATAAAATGCCTCTTCTTACACTTTGGGTGCTGATCTAGGTCTAGACCTCTACATACTGGAAGGAACAAACCCGGGATTCATCTACCAGGTTGAAGCCTTTGATCCGGAAGACATAAGCCGAAACATACCCCTCAGTGTAAGTCTCCTTGATAAATGAGTCGGGCTTCTCTGTGCTGCCTTTGACACGGGAGCCTACAGCCTCGGCCGGGGGCTCGGGCAGTGGTGAGGGGAGGAATAGGCTGTCCACCGCCACGGCCAGAGCACGGGGGACGTCGGAATGGGTAAGGGAGCTCTGGCCGTAGACACGCCAGATCAAACTCGTGAACTTCCCATTTCTTCATCTATAAAATGGAAGCATAAAAGCACCTACACACCGGGGATTTTAAGTATAAGATAATGCATGTAAAGCCACTTAGCACAGGGCTTGGCATATTGAAATTGCTCAGTATTTTTAATTCTAAGGTGCTAAAAATCCAGCTGTATTCTTTTAAAAGTAAGCAAAAAAATGCGTACCCCAAAGACCGGCATTAACACTTCGTTTTCGAGAGGTGATGTCAAGCTGCTTGGAGCTAAGTTAGAAAGTAAAAAATAAAAAAGTTAAAAGAGAATCCCAGAAATTCCAAATAAGAGGGAGGAAATCCCACAGGGGAAATTGGAAACTGGGTCCCGGAACTTCCCTTCGCATTTCATTCCGGGACAGCGGATCACTCTTCTTCCTAAATCCATTTCCTTCATGCAGTTATCAGTGGAGCTCTTGTAAACACCAACCCTCAGGCGAAGGAGCCTGTCAGCTTGTTCCTGGGCCAGGACGCTGTGGCTCCTAGCTCTGTCCCCTCAAGCGGTCCACGCACCCTGCTGCTGGGGAGCCCAGGCTGGAGAAAAAGAAAAACAAAAACAAAAACAAAGCTCACACCATCCAGCCAACTAACCTTGGAGCAGGCATCACTCCTGCAAAGCCCGCCTTACAGAGAAGGGCATATTTGAAATACGACACTCAGGGAATTGGTAATGCTGGGAGGCTGTTTCTGCTGTTGGAGGCTTGATTTGCAGCTTCAAAGGGGCTACTTTTTCTAACAGGAGGACTTGAGCCTTGGAAATAACCTCCAGGACCCGTATAATACGGTCTACAGGGTCTGAAACAGCGCTGTTTTCAAATTAGCAGACACATTTTGAGTTAGGGAATAGTCTGTTCTTATTAGAAGATGACTCTTCTGTCCCCAAAATTGTTTGTTCAAGGTTCTATTTGCATGAGTAAGTGGAGTAGGCAAACATTTAATGGGTCCCTACTGTATGCTAAGAACAATACGAGGTGCTTTAAATGCGAACTTACGAATAGCATCCTTGTTATATCAGTTATAAGTATGCTTGTCTGAAAATAACAGAAAACCACAGTGGCAGAGGTGGGATTTTTTTTTTTCCCCTCCCATTACAAGAAGTGCAGAGGAGGGCAGGCAGTCCAGGGCTGGTTTTGTCCTCTTTTTGTTCACCTCATGATCACAACATGGCTGCTGCACCTCCAGGCTTTAAGTTCCAGGTAGGAAGAAGAAGAAGAAAAAAAAAAAGGGGGGGGTGCTTGGGTGGCTCAGTGGGTTAAAGCCTCTGCCTTCGGCTCAGGTCATGATGCCAGAGTCCTGGGATCGATCCCCACATTGGGCTCTCTGCTTAGCAGGGAGGCTGCTTCCCCCTCTCTCTCTGCCTGCCTCTCTGCCTACTTGTGATCTCTGTCTGTCAAATAAGTAAATAAAATCTTAAAAAAAAAAAAAAAAAGCACGAAGGGGTACAAGGTGAAGGGAGCAGGCCAACCCAGTCTGTATCTCAAAGATCCTCCTGGAGGCCCTAGTTCTCACCAGCCAGAACTGTTGGCCACTGTTTTTTGACCGTGACCAAACGAAAAGGAATTTTGGATGGGTCAACAACCCAGAATATAGTTACCTCATTTACACATTTAGTTCTTTTCAACACTTACCAAGAATCCACGATGTGCCAGGCTTTCTATTGGATACTTGGGGCACAAAGACGAGAAAGACCCATCTTTGTACCTCCAGAAGTTTACGGTCTGGGTGGGAGACGTTCACACATACACCAGATTATTAGAATTCAGTAAGGCAACTACTCTAAAGATCATACAAGACACAGTGGGGGCCAAGTGGAAGGAATCTCAAGTGTCAAAAAAATGTTTATTTTTAAATCTCTGTCTTTAAATTATCTAGAAAGAATAAGGTCATGGCACCCCTTTAAAAATGCCTTGTAGATCAGGTTGTTGCCCTTCCTGAGGAAGGGAAGCAGCCCCACGTGGGGAGCAAATGCAGGAGCAGTGTTTTTCCCTTGGGAGAAAACAGTGCAGTCCAAAGAGGTCTGAGAGCAGCTGCAGAGGCTTGGGACCTGGAACTAGTGGGCCTGCACCTGTGGGTTCTGCAGTGGGTTTAGGAGTTCTCTGGGGAGTGGGGCTCCCCACGCGGCAGAAAGTATTAATCACACCTGCACTAGCACGGACAGCTGCCCAGACCTTTGACAGTCAGCCTGGAGGGACAGTGAACACAATCCAGAAGGAACCTTTCTTAGACGAGAAAAATGTACTAACAGTTTAGGAAGTGACATCGTGTGGCCTTTGTGCTTAGACATTTTATTCTGGGCGCTTGGAAGGTATGAAAGGATAGACTTTGTCCTATATAAGGAGAAAGGAACTGGGTTGATTTACTATGACCAAACCCGTCCTTGTCACTGAAGCCCGTGCCTGTCCGTTGAAACCAGCAGACGAACTTTAAAAAACGACAGGTATCTTGGTCCTGCCCCCCAGGAGTCTGATGTGGTTGTCCTGGGATGTGTCCCAGGCCTCAGGCTTTTGGGGGCCCACAGCTAAATCTCTTGCACAGAGAAGACTGAGAACCACCGGTTTAAGACATGGCTTCCCAAATTTTCCAAGTCTCTCTCTTGGACTTTCTTTTTCCTGTAGGTCTGAGAGGGGCCTGGGAGTTTGTGTATTAGCCAAATCCCCCAGGACAAGTCTTTCGGTCAGCATGGCTGGGAGGGCTTTCTCAGAAGGTGTTAAGGCCCCTGCTTGAGAATATACGTAGACCACTTTAAAAACAAAAGCAAAACCAGATTCTGACAGTTAAGGAGGCCGACTCTTGATCTCAGCTCAGGTCCTGATCTCAGGTTCGTGAGTTCAGGTCCCACACGGGGCTTCTTGCTAGGTGCAGAAGCCTACTTTAAAAATTAATTGATTAATTAATTTAAATAAATGAAAAAAGCACAGATTCCTGGAACACAAACTTCCTAGGTGATTCTGATGCTTTGTACCCTTCGAGAACCACTGAACCGAAGAAACAAGTGGAGGCTTTAATGAAACATCAGAGCAGGGCCAGGAGCCACGGCACGGATCCCGCTGTTGCCGTTGGGGCTCTTCCTGCAGGGCCCACGCCACCACTGGCCCTGCAGGGGGACCAGCTGTTGAAGCTGGGGCTCAGGACACACCCCAGGCCTCTGCTCATGAGCTGCAACCAGTGCAAGGTGAATGGGGTCAATTTGTCCCGCAGGAACTAGCCCATCCCCAGGACGGCAGCTCCTGCTGGGCCCACAGCACCACCCACCCCACAGCAGATAGGGTCAACACAGGGGGCGTCTACCGGGAGTACCGTGACCTAAACCATGTCATTTCTGTGGCCAGCTGGTTTGTCAGCCATGGCACTGAGGAAGGCATGGTCCAGAATTTGTGCGGAGAACCCTGGGGTGAAAGTGAGCCTGAAGGAGGATATTGAGCCATACTTATAAAGATGGGAACGGTGCCCGTGACAACCTTGCTGCTGGGGAGTCCTCTCTGTGTGGGACTCCTCTAAGACACAGGTCTTCAGAAGAGTGGTGTTTGAAAAAATGGCATTGTGCCCCATGATCAGAGGGGAGCCTGTGTTAAGGATGCTGGGTCGGTACTGCCATGGTCTGAAGAATCTGGGGTTGATAGTCAACGTATCTGGCGGCGGGTCTGGTCACGGCACTTTGCAGCAAGCTGGGCGCTGGCTGCAAGGGTGGTCCTGAGGGAGGAGTCTGAAATGGGATGGCAGGGCCTCCTGGCTCCCCTGCCGCTGTGACCGCAGCCAACCCTCTACCTGGCAAAGGTGTGACCCGCAAGATAATTATGGGATCTCCGTTCAGACTTACCACCAGTTCTTACATGATCTTGGGATCACAGTGGAGGTGGAGGGAGAAGGTGCCCATTTCACATGGCCCTAAACTGATGAATAAACTACGCGACTTCCCACAAGGAAGAACAAGAACAAACCAGCAAAGCAAGAGCGTGAAGACACCTTGGCTTGGTTTGTGCCTATCAGCTTTCCTGCTGGGTTCCAAGGAGCTGCCTTGCCAGTGGGAACCGCTAAGGAGGAAGGATGAATTAAATAGCTCTAGGAGGTCTCCAGAAACCCCTTCAATGACAAATCCTACAATCCCTACCCACCTTAATAAATTGAAACTCTGCTGCAGATAACATGAAAGTGGGGCTGGTGCAGAAACCGCTGGTATTTGCTCCCTCCTTTCCAAAGCAGTTGTAAAAGCCAGTAGTTGTACGTTGTTTGGACCAGCACTGCCCACAGAGCGGGCTTGTGAGCAGGAAATGACGCCCGTGTATGCCATTTTAAATGCTCCAGGAGCCACATTAAAAAATAAGATGGAACAGGTGAAATTAATTTAAATACACTTCTTCAGTGTTTAAATACTCTTATCCAAACTACTATCCTTTCAACATGTGACCAACATCAAAATGATTCATGAGCTGTTTTACCTCCTTTTTCTTAATAGTAAGTCTCCGGGCTCATCGTTTCCGTTATGCTGATTTATAGCTCGTCTCCTCTCAGACTAGCCCCATTGTAAATGCTCGGTCATCACAGGTGCCTGTGGCTGGTGGCTCCTGCTATAGGGAGCAGGCTTGGATCTGGCAGCAGCTCCCCCTCCCTGGGCGCCTTCTGTGTCCTTACGAGTTCCGGGAGGATGTTCTCAGAGGGATGTGTTTATACTGGGCTTGGAATAGTTTGTCTGGGAATAATCATACCAACCGGCAGTCCTTCTCTGGGCTCCCTCCCCCAGCGCTTTCCCTACCTCTTGAAGGAGGTTCAGAGAGATCCAAGCCCCTCCCACCCAACTCCC